TCCAGGGCGAGGACAGGACGGCCACCGAGCCGCACGGGGACACGGCCGACCCCGAGCGCCTGCCGCTGTTACGCGCCCTGCCCCCGGGCTGGACCGCGACGCAGGAGAGAAGCGCGACCGGCCTCACGGCCTCCCTGACCTTCACCGCCGCGGTGCAGGACGACGGGGCGCGCGTCCGGTGCTGCTTCCACCACGGGGCCAAGCGCATCAGGGAGCAGCGGGAGATCTGGGTGCGGGGTGAGTGCGGCCGGGCTCCCCATCCTGGGTGGAAGTCATGGGAGCTGCCTTATGGACCTGGGGGACGGCCACGAGCCGGCTGGGATAGCAGAGACAGGATGAGAGAAGCTGGGGAATGGGACAGAAATCTTCCCCTGCTCCTGATGGAGCTGGGGCTGCGGGACCTGCCACGCGAGTATCAACCCGGCAGGGATCCCAGACCCAGCAGCAGCGCGGCAGGGATTTCCCCGGGGATGCCAGGCGGGTACAAGTGCCCCCAGCGCCCCCAGCCCCGTGCTCGCTAACGCTCCTGCTGGAGAGTGCCCAGCTGGAGCTTGACCCGCCGGGGGCTGCGAGTGCGAATGTCCGTGCAGCACGGCCCTGGAGACTCCCTGATGGAGAGAGAGCTGTGCCTGGGGGATGCTGGTGAGGAGGGGGCTGTCCTGGGCTGAGGCAGGGAAGGAGCAGGGATTGCTGCCCATCCAGTAAAATTAGCGCTTGGGGTAATGGTTTGTGTCCCACATCCCACCTGGAAACACAGATGTGTGGGGGTTGAGAAGAGGTGATGTCAGGAGACCCGTGGTGGGGGGGTTGATCTGTCCTGTCTGAGGGGAGCAGGTCACCCCCTGGGGGGTCCAGGCTCATCTCTATGGGACCTCTCACAATTTCTCGGTGTTTCTTTCCCCAGATGTCCTGAAGCCCCCAGAGGTGTCAGACATCCTCAAGTCAAAGCCTGCAGAGCAGGGAGTCACCCTGAGCTGCCGCATCGCGGGGCATTTCCCGGGGGAGCTGAGCGTGACCTGGCTGCAGAAGCCCAGGCCTGGATCTGTGCCCGTGACCCTGCAGGACTCGGCTGAGCACAGCATCGACCCTGGCACGGCCGTCCCGGCACCGGACGGGAAGAGCTTCCAGCAGGAGACCACACTCAACCTCACTCACCATGGCCTGGGCGCCGAGTACATCTGCCGGGTGGGACACGTCACCCTGGGGACCCCCGTCGAGAGAAGCAGCGGTGAGCAGCAGGGCACAGTTGTCGTACCATTCTATAAAGTCAGTAAGGAACTTTGGGCCCCCCCCGTCAGGTGGCCGTTAGTGTTTCTGGCACCCGGTTGGTTGCCGGGCAGGTCTTTCCCTGGAACTCCTAGTGTGTACAAAAAAATTCTTCGGGGGCCGCCACTCCACACAGGAAAGGCGGCTGTGACGTGACCTGGCTGCGCAAGGGAGCAGGAGAGCGGGAGCCCAGGCCCGTGGGCGGCTCCGACACCCACAGCATCCACACCACCACCCCCAGCCGGGCGCCGGACGGGAAGTCCTACAGCATGGAGTCCGAGCTGTGCTTCACCCCGTCGGGGCCCGAGGACGACGGGGTCGAGTACCAGTGCAGGGTGGAGCACGAGACCCTACAGAAAACAACAGCCGAGTCCACCGGGCCCCTGCCGCTCCGAGGTAGGGCGTGCGGGACACAGAAACCTCCTGACAACGCTGGGCTGCAATAGCCCTGCGTCCCAATGAAGTCAGCCCCCTGCTCTGAGCAAAGGTCCCTCTGGACCCACCCCGCTGCCCCCATTCTCCGCCCGTCCAGCCCCTCTCCCTCTCGGTCACCTCATCTCAGCGGGGTCCCCACAGACAACGGCTCTCCAGGGCCAGGTGCCCAGCTCACCAAACGCAGCCCCTTCCATCTCCGGCCAAGACGCAGGCTAGAGACAGGGCCGCAGCGAGGAGTGCTGCTCTGCTGGGCTCAGATGCTCAGGAGAGGGCAGCAGCGACAGGACCACAACTGGTGCCAACACACGGCCGTGTCCACACAGCGAGACCAGGAGTCAGAGACTGGGCAGGACCGGGGCGCAGGCAGGGATGTGTCTGACACACACAGTGGGAGACGTGGAGGGACACAACGGGGTGACAGTCTGGACAGGGTCATCAGGAAGCCAATTATGGCTGGCACAGAGTTGCAGGCTCCTTTTAAGCAGCAGCGAGAGTCCCAGGGGAAAGCTGCTCGTTAGAAGCTGCCAGGGCCGGGTAGTCGGGGCGTTCCCTGGTGCAAGCACTGAGCGCAGCCCCGGCTGTGCGGCAGCAGCCCCAGGCGACCGCCCTGCACGGACACACGACAGGGGCACAGCGGAGACCAGCAGCAGCAAGTCGCTCTGGGGTGAATCAGGAAATGCCCACGGGAGGTCCTGGAGGCACTGACGGGCAGGGGCACGGGGCAGGGCCGGGGTATAGAAACACGGGCTCAGACCAGGAGGGGCATCTGGTCCTGGCGGCTGCAGAGGCAAGAGCTGCAGAGCAAGGGCAATGCCCAGCGCCTGGCTGGCACCGGGGCCGTCTTGGGGAAGGTGCCCAGAGCGCTGGTGCCCGACGGGGAAGGGGACCTGGGGCGAGGGGAAGCCTGGTCGTGCAGCAGGGAGTCCGTGGTTATGTGTGGGCCAGCAAAGGGGTTCAGTGTGTGCTGCAGCCAGGATGCTTAGCCCTGGGTTACAGCTTGGATCAGTGGTTTGGGCAAGTCTGAAAGGGAGGAGCTGGGGCATCTTGCCCGAGGCAGGCAGACACAGCCCGAGAGGGGCGAGAACAGGGCCGTATTGCCCAAGCAGGGCGCACTGTGGGGTGACAGCACTCGGGCAGGGACCCAGAGAGGGCCGAGGGTAAAGGAACCCGGGAGAGCGAAGGAGCGGAGGCCAGGACGGGTGTAAAGGCCAGAGGTGGCCTGGTGTTGGGGTGGAGCGGCGTGCCCACCACAAGTGTGCAGTGGGGGCACGTGTAAGGCATGGGCATGGCTGCACGGGAGGTCGGAGGCCGTGAGTAGACCTAAGACTGATGGGTCCCTGGGACGGGCGCGCAGACAGGCCGTGGGGGCCGCACAGCCGGGCAGGGTGGAGACCAGCGGGCCCAGGGAGAGGTGGCTGGTATCTACGGGACCTGGGGATTACTTTAGGACCCGTTAGGCAGCCCCCCTCCCCATCGAACAAGTACAGCATAGCAGAGGAGTGATGAGGGGAGGGCACCCGGGCACTGGAGCAGGGTGCAGGCTGTGGGGCCACCGTGGGCCGTGTGACCCACCCCTGGAGCCCAAACCTGGTAAGAGCGACAGGCGGGCCAGGCTGGGGGATGGAGCCCACACACGTGGCCGCACAGCTCAGCTCCACATGACACGTCCCTGCCCCACATCCCCCACATGTGAGTCTGGGTGTAGGAGGGCAGAGCAGCCACATCGCTTCCACCTTCCACCGCCCGGCTCTCCTAACGCTCCTGCTCTTTCCCCAGTTCAGCCACAGCTGTCCCAGATCCAGGTGTTGCCTGATGGGGATGCCCCGAGGGAAACGCTGTTTGCCGTCCGCATCGAGAACTTCTACCCCCAGAAGATCCATGAGATCCGATGGAAAATTGATGGAAAACCCTGGGAAAGGTCCAAGCCCAGAGAGATCAGCCCCAACTCGGACGGCACCTTCACGGCGACGAGCATGTTGAGAGTGCCCAGCCGGAGCCTGACCGGCCCGGGGCTGCGAGTGCGAGTGTCCGTGCAGCACGGCCACAGAGACCCCCCGGTGGAGAGAGAGCTATGCCTGGGGGACGCTGGTGAGGAGGGGGCTGCCCTGCACTCAGGCAGTGAAGGAGCAGGGATTGCTGCCCCCTCCAGTAAAACGAGTGCTTGGGGTAATGGTTTGTGTCCCACATCCCACCTGGAAACAGAGATGTGTGGGGGTTGAGAAGAGGTGATGTCAGGAGGTCCATGGTGGCAGAGGTTGATCTGTCCTGTTCCTGGGGGGCAGGTCACCCCCTGGGGGGTCCAGGCTCATCTCTATGGGACCTCTCTCAATTCTGGGTGTTTCTTTCCCCAGATGTCCTGAAGCCCCCGGAGGTGTCAGACATCCTCAACTCAGTGTCTGCAGAGGGGCGAGTCACCCTGAGCTGCCGCATCACGGGGCATTTCCCGGGGGAGCTGAGCGTGACCTGGCTGCAGAAGCCCAGGCCTGGATCTGTGCCCGTGACCCTGCAGGACTCGGCTGAGCACAGCATCGACCCTGGCACGGCCGTCCTGGCACCGGACGGGAAGAGCTTCCAGCAGGAGACCACACTCAGCCTCACTCAGCATGGCCTGGGCGCCGAGTACATCTGCCGGGTGGGACACGTCTCCCTGGGGACCCCCGTCGAGAGAAGCAGCGGTGAGCAGCAGGGCACTATTGTCGTACCATTCTATAAAGTCAGTAAGGAACTTTGGGCCACCCCCGTCAGGTGGCCGTTAGTGTTTCTGGCACCCGGTTGGTTGCCGGGCAGGTCTTTCCCTGGAACTCCTAGTGTGTACAAAAAAATTCTTCGGGGGCCGCCACTCCACACAGGAAAGGCGGCTGTGAC